GGGCAGAGCCTTCACCACCCCCCTGACACCCCACGGCTTGGGGTGGGAGCCCCATGGCCAGTGCTGTCCCCATCCCCTTGTCCCCATCACGCTGTCCCCATCCCCTTGTCCCCATCCCCTTGTCCCCATCCTGTTGTCCCCATCCCCTTGTCCCCATCCCATTGTCCCCATCACGCTGTCCCCATCCTGTGGGGCCAAGCAGGACAGGTGCCCCATAGCCAGTGGTGGCCCCATCTCATGGTAGCAGAGTGGGACGGGTGCCCCATAGCCAGTGCCGGGCCCATCACCACCACCGTCCCCATCCCATGGTGTTCAAGAGGGATGGGAGCCCCATCCCTCCCATTGTCCCCATCACGCTGTCCCCATCCTGTGGGGCCAAGCAGGACAGGTGCCCCATAGCCAGTGGTGGCCCCATCTCATGGTAGCAGAGTGGGACGGGTGCCCCATAGCCAGTGCCGGGCCCATCACCACCACCGTCCCCATCCCATGGTGTTCAAGAGGGATGGGAGCCCCATCCCATGGTGGCCCACCAGGTTGAGTGCCCCATCACCACCACCGTGCCCATTCATGATGACCAAGCAGGTTGGGTGCCCCACAACCACCACTGTCCCCATCCCCTGGTGTCTGAGAGGGATGGGTGCCCCATCACCACCACCATACCCATCTCATGGTGGCCCAGAAAAAGTGGTGCCCCATCACCACTACCATCCCCATCCCATGGTGGTCAAGTGGAATGGGTATGCCATCACCACCGCTGTCCCCATCCCATGGTGACCAAGCAGGTTGGGTGCCCCACAACCACCACTGTCCCCATCCCCTGGTGTCTGAGAGGGATGGGTGCCCCATCACCACCACCATACCCATCTCATGGTGGCCCAGAAAAAGGGGTGCCCCATCACCACCACCATCGCCATCGCATGGTGGCTCAGCAGAAAAGGTGCCCCATCACTACCACCGTACCCATCTCATGGTAGCCAAGTGGGATGGGTGCCCCATAGCCGGTGCCGGCCCCATCACCACCACCCCTGTCCCCATCCCATGGTGTCCAAGAGAGATGGGGGCCCCATCACCGCCACCGTCCCCATCCCATGGTAGCCAAGTGGGTTGGGTGCCCCATCGCCGTCCCCATTACATGGTGGCCCAGCAGGTTGAGTGCCCCATCACACCACCATGCCCATTCATGATGACCGAGCAGTTTGGATGCCCCACGACCACCACTGTCCCCATTCCCTGGTGTCTGAGAGGGATGGGTGCCCCATCACCACCACCGTCTCCATCCCATGGTGGTCAAGTGGAATGGGCATTCCATCACCACCACCGTCCCCATCCCATGGTGATCAAGCAGGTTGGGTTCCCCACCAACACCACCATCCCCATCCCATGGTGGCTCAGCAGAAAAGGTGCCCCATCACCGTCCCCGTCCCATGGTGTCCAAGAGGGATGGGTGCCCCATCACCACCACCGTCCCCATCTCATGGTAGCCAAGTGGGTTGGGTGCCCCATCACCGTCCCCATTACATGGTGGCCCACCAGGTTGAGTGCCCCATCACCACCACCATGCCCAGTCATGATGACCGAGCAGGTTGGGTGCCCCACAACCACCACCGTCCCCATCCCCTGGTGTCTGAGAGGGATGGGTGCCCCATCATCACCACCGTCTCCATCCCACAGTGGCTGAGCACGATGGGTGCCCCATCACCATTGTCCCCATTTCATGGTGACCCAGCATGTTGGGTGCCCCATCACCACCATCCCCATCTCATGGTGGCCCAGAAGAAATGGTGCCCCATCACCACCACCATCCCCATCCCATGGTATCCAAGAGGGATGGGTCCCCCATCATCACCACCGTCCCCATCCCATGGTGACCAAGCAGGTTGGGTTCCCCACCAACACCACCATCCCCATCCCATGGTGGCTCAGCAGAAAAGGTGCCCCATCACCACCACTGTCCCCATCCCATGGTGTCCAAGAGGGATGGGTGCCCCATCACCACCACCGTCCCCATCTCATGGTAGCCAAGTGGGTTGGATGCCCCATCACTGTCCCCATTACATGGTGGCCTACCAGGTTGAGTGCCCCATCACCACCACCATGCCCAGTCATGATGACCGAGCAGGTTGGGTGCCCCACAACCACCACCGTCCCCATCCCCTGGTGTCTGAGAGGGATGGGTGCCCCATCACCACCACCGTCCCCATCTCATGGTGGCTCAGCAGATAAGGTGCCCCATCACCACCACCATCCTCATCCTATGGTGGCCGAGTAGGTTGGGTGCCCCATCACCACCACTGTCCCCATCCCATGGTGTCCAAGTGGGTCAGGTGCCTCATCACTACCACTGTCCCCATCCCCTCGTCTCCAAAACGGATGGGTGCCCCATCACCACCACCATCCCCATTTCATGATGGCCCAGAAGAAATGGGGCCTCATCACCACCACCATCCCCATTTCATGATGGCCCAGAAGAAATGGGGCCTCATCACCACCACCATCCCCATTTCATGATGGCCCAGAAGAAATGGGGCCTCATCACCACCACCATCCCCATCCCATGGTGGCCAAGCGGGTTGGATGCCCCATCACCACCACCGTCCCCATCCCATGGTGTCTGAGAGGGAGGGTTGCCCCATCATCACAACCGTCTCCATCCCACAGTGGCTGAGCACGATGGGTGCCCCATCACCATTGTCCCCATTTCATAGTGACCCAGCATGTTGGTGCCCCATCACCACCACCATCCCCATTTCATGATGGCCCAGAAGAAATGGTGCCTCATCACCACCACCATCCCCATCTCATGGTGGCCAAGCGGGTTGGATGCCCCATCACCACCACCGTCCCCATCCCCATCTCATGGTGGCTGAGCAGGTTGGGTGCCCCATCACCACCATTGTCCCCATTTCATGGTGACCCAGCATGTTGGGTGCCCTGTCACCACCACCATCCCCATCCTATGGTGGCCCAGCAGGTTGGGTGTCCCATCACCACCACCATCCCCATCCCCTGGTCTCCAAGAAGGATGGGTGCCCCATCACCACCACCATCCCCATCCCATGGTGTCCACGTGGGTCAGGTGCCTCATCGCTACCACTGTCCCCATCCCCTGGTCTCCAAGAAGGATGGGTGCCCCATCACCACCACCATCCCCATCCCGTGGTGGCCGATGCTGTCACTGACCCCCCTGCTCTTTGTCCCCCCACCCACAGACGGTGTCCACAGCGCGACGGCCCAGTGCACGCTGCGGGTGACGGTGATCACGGACGAGATGTTGAGCAACAGCATCACCCTACGCTTGGCCGACATGTCCCAGGAGCGCTTCCTCTCCCCGTTGCTCAGCCGCTTCCTGGAGGGGGTGGCTGCCGTCCTGGCCACCCCCCGCCACCGCGTGGTCCTCTTCAACATCCAGACGGACACGGACGTGGGGACGGCCCGTATCCTCAACGTCAGCCTCTCGGTTCTGCTGCCCGGGGTGGGGGCGACGGCGACGGGGCACGGCCCCCGCTTCTTCTCCTCCGAGGAGCTCCAGGAGAGGCTCTACCTCAACCGCTCGCTCTTGGCCGCCATCTCGGCCCAGCGGGTCCTGCCCTTCGACGACAACATCTGCCTGAGGGAACCCTGCGAGAACTACATGCGCTGCGTCTCCGTCCTGCAGTTCGACAGCTCGGCGCCCTTCCTCGCCTCCGACACCATCCTCTTCCGCCCCATCCACCCCGTCACCGGCCTGCGCTGCCGCTGTCCCCCCGGCTTCACCGGCGACTACTGCGAGACCGAGATCGACCTCTGCTACTCCAGCCCCTGCGGCCCCAACGGCCGCTGCCGGAGCCGGGAGGGGGGTTACACCTGCGAGTGCCACGAGGACTTCACCGGTGAGAGCCCGGCCCTCGGCCACCCCTGCTGTCACCTTGTCCCTTTCAGCCCTCCGGCGGTGGTCATGTCCTCCTGGTGGCCATCCCCATCATCCCTTCGTCCAGCTCCTCTTCAACCCTCCATCTCTCCATCTCTCCATCCATCCATCCATCCATCCCATCCTCCTGGTGGCCATCCCCATCATCCCTTCGTCCAGCTCCTCTTCAACCCTCCATCCATCCATCCCAACCTCCTGGTGGCCATCCCCATCATCCCTTCGTCCAGCTCCTCTTCAACCCTCCATCCATCCATCCCAACCTCCTGGTGGCCATCCCCATCATCCCTTTGTCCAGATCCTTTTCAACCATCCATCCATCCATCCCAACCTCCTGGTGGCCATCCCCATCATCTCTTCATCCAGCTCCTCTTCAACTATCCATCCATCCATCCCAACCTCCTGGTGGCCATCCCTATCATCCCTTCAATCAGTTCCCCTCCATCTACTCCTTCTCGGTTCTCCCTCCGTCATCCCTTTGGCTGGATTCTCTTCAGCCCTCCATCATCTATCCATCCATCCATCCATCCATCCATCCATCCATCCATCCCATCCTCCCATCCTCTTGGTGTCCATCCCCATCATCTCTTCATCCAGCTCCTCTTCAGCCAACCAACCATCCATCCATCCATCCATCCATCCATCCATCCATCCATCCATCCCAACCTCCTGGTGTCCATCCTCATCATCTTTTCATATGGCTTTTCTTCAGCCATCCATCCGTCCGTCCCTCCCAACCTCCTGATGTCCATTCCCATCATCTCTTCATCCAGCTCCTCTTCAACCCTCCATCATCCATCTGTCTCATCCTCTTGGTGTCCATTCCCATCATCTCTTTGTCCAGCTCTTCTTCAGCCCTCTGTCATCCATCCTTCTTTTTCTCTTGGTGTTCATCCCCATCATCACTTCATCTGGCTCCTCTTCGACCCTCCATCATCCATCCCATCCTCTTGATGTCCATCCCGGTCATCCCTTCATCCAGCTCCTCCTCATCTACCCCTCCCTTGGCTGTCCCTCCATCATCCCTCCCTATCATTCCTTCAGCAAGCTCTTCTTCATCCCTTCATCATCCATCCATCCATCTCTTCCTCTTGGTGTCCATACACATCACCCCTTTGTTCAGCTCCCCTTTGGCTCTCCATCATCCATCCCTCCCTCCATCCCTCCATCCATCCATCCATCCATCCATCCCTCTGTTCCTCCTCCATCCCTTCATCCTTCCCTCCATCCATCCATCCCTCTGTTCCTCCTCCATCCCTCCATCCATCCCATCCTCTTGATGTCCATCCCGGTCATCCCTTCATCCAGCTCCTCCTCATCTACCCCTCCCTTGGCTGTCCCTCCATCATCCATCCCTATCATTCCTTCAGCGAGCTCTTCTTCATCCCTTCATCATCCATCCATCCATCTCTTCCTCTTGGTGTCCATACACATCACCCCTTTGTTTGTCATCCATCCTTCTTTTTCTCTTGGTGTTCGTCCCCATCATCACTTCATCTGGCTCCTCTTCGACCCTCCATCATCCATCCCATCCTCTTGGTGTCCATCCCGGTCATCCCTTCATCCAGCTCCTCTTCATCTACCCCTCCCTTGGCTGTCCCTCCATCATCCCTCCCTATCATTCCTTCAGCAAGCTCTTCTTCATCCCTTCATCATCCATCCATCTCTTCCTCTTGGTGTCCGTACACATCACCCCTTTGTCCAGCTCCCCTTTGGCTCTCCATCATCCATCCCTCCCTCCATCCCTCCATCCATCCATCCCTCCATCCATCCCTCTGTTCCTCTTACATCCCTTCATCCATCCATCCATCCATCCATCCATCCATCCATCCATCCCTCTGTTCCTCCTCCATCCCTCCATCCATCCCTTCATCCATCCATCTCTCTGTTCCTCCTCCATCCCTTCATCCTTCCTTCCCTCCATCCCTCCATCCATCCATCCATCCCTCCCTCCCTCCCTCCATCCATCCCTCCATCCATCCCTCCCTCCATCCATCCCTCTATTCCTCCTCCATCCCTCCTTCATCCCTCCATCCTCCCCTTTGTCTCCAACACCTTCATCTTCCTCCTCTTCCATCTCTCCACCTTCTTCCCGTGGGGCTCCCGTGGGCATCATCTGGGGTGTGGGGTGATGGGTCTCCTCCCATGGGCATCGTCTGGGGTGGTGGGATATGGGGTGGTGGGTGCCCTTTGGGCACCACCTGGGGTGATGGGGTGTGGGGTGAGGGGGCTCTGTGGGCATCATTTGGGTGTGGGGTGATGGGGCTCCCGTGGGCATCATCTGGGGTGTGGGGTGATGGGTCTCCTCCCATGGGCATCGTCTGGGGTGGTGGGATATGGGGTGGTGGGTGCCCTTTGGGCATCACCTGGGGTGATGGGGTGTGGGGTGATGGGTCTCCCATGGCCATCAGAGGGGCCATGGGGTGGTGGGTGCTCCTTTGGCATCACCTGGGCTGATGGGTTGTGGGGTGATGGGTCTCCCGTGGGCATGACCTGGGTTGGAGGGTGATGTGTGCCCCATTGGCATCATCTAGGGTGTGGGATGATGGGTGCTCCTTTGGCATCACCTGGGGTGATGGGATGTGGGGTGAGGGTTCTCTGTGGGCATCATTTGGGGTGTGGGGTGATGGGGCTCCTCCCATGGGCATTGTCTGGGGTGGTGGGATGATGGGTGCCCCATTGGCATCATCTGGGGTGATGGGTCTCCCATGGGCATCAGAGGGGCTGTGGGGTGGTGGGTGCTCCTTTGGTGATGGAATGTGGGTTGAGGGTGCTCTGTGGGCATCATTTGGGGTGTGGGGTGATGGGGCTCCTCCCATGGGCATCAGAGGGGCTGTGGGGTGGTGGGTGCTCCTTTGGCATCATCTGGGCTGGTGGGATGTGGGGTGGTGGTTGTTCCATGGGCATCACCTGGGGCGATAGGGTGTGGGGAGATGGGTGCCCCATGAAAATGGCCTGGGACAATGGGTGTCTTCCCATGGGCATCGGCTGGGGTGTGGGGTGATAGGTGCTCCTTTGGCATCACCTGGGGTGATGGGATGTGGGGTGAGGGTGCTCTGTGGGCATCATTTGGGGTGTGGGGTGATGGGGTTCCTCCCATGGGCATTGTCTGGGGGGTGGGATATGGGGTGGCAGGTGCCCCATGGGGATCATCTGGGGTGCAGGGTGATGGGTGCCCCATGGGCATCACCTAGGGTGATGGGGTGTGGGGTAATGGGTCTGCCATGGCCATCGGAGGGGCCATGGGGTGGTGGGTGCTCTTTTGGCATCACCTGGGCTGATGGGGTGTGGGGTGATGGGTCTCCTGTGGGCATCACCTGGGTTGGAGGGTGATGGGTGCCCCATTGGCATCATCTGGGGTGTGGGGTGAGGGTGCTCTGTGGGCATCATTTGGGTGTGGGGTGATGGGGCTCCCGGGCTGTGGGGTGATGGGTCTTCCGTGGGCATCAGAGGGGCTGTGGTGTGGTGGGTGCTCCTTTGGCATCACCTGGGGTGATGGGCTGTGGGGTGGTGGTTGTTCCATGGGCATCACCTGGGGCGACAGGGTGTGGGGAGATGGGTGCCCCATGAAAATGGCCTGGGACAATGGGTGTCTTCCCATGGGCATCATCTGTGGGGGTGGGATATGGGGTGGTGGGTGCCCCATGGGCATCATCTGGGGTGTGGGGTGATGGGTGCCCCATTGGCATCACCTGGGGTGATGGGATGCGGGGTGAGGGTGCTCTGTGGGCATCATTTGGGGTGATGGGTCTCCTCCCATGGGCATTGTCTGGGGTGTGGGGTGATGGGTCTCCTCCCATGGGCATTGTCTGGGGTGGTGGGATATGGGGTGGTGGTTGCTCCATGGGGATCATCAGGGGTGTGGTGTGATGGGTGCCCCATGGGCATCACCTGGGGTGATGGGGTGTGGGGTGATGGGTGCCCCATGGGCATCAGAGGGGCTGTGGGATGATGGGTGCTCCTTTGGCATCACCTGGGCTGATGGGATGTGGGGTGGTGGGTCTCCCGTGGGCATCATCTGGGGTGATGGGGTATGGGGTGGTGGGTGCCCCATTGGCATCACCCGGGGTGATGGGATGTGGGGTGGTGGTTGTTCCATGGACATCACCTGGGGTGATAAGGTGTGGGGAGATGGGTGCCCCATGAAAATGGCCTGGGACAATGGGTGTCTTCCCATGGGCATCATCTGGGGGGGTGGGATATGGGGTGGTGGGTGCCCCATGGGCATCATCGGGGGTGTGGGGTGATGGGTGCTCCTTTGGCATCACCTGGGGTGGGGGCTTGGGGGGTAACAGGTGCCTCATGGGCGTCATCTGGGGTGTGGGGTGATGGGTGCCCCGTGGGCATCACCTTGGGTGATGGGGGGTAATGGGTGCCCCATGGGCGTCATGTGGGGTGATGGGTCTCCCGTGGGCATCAGAGGGGCTGTGGGGTGGTGGATGCTCCTTTGGCATCAGATGGTGTGATGGGTGCCCCATGGGCATCATCTGGGGTGATAGAGTATGGGGGGGTGGGTGCCCCATGGACATCACCTTGGGTGGTGGGTAATGGGTGCCCCATGGGCCTCATCTGGGGTGTGGGGTGATGGGTGCTCCTTTGGCATCACATGGTGTGATGGGTGCCCTATGGGCATCACCTGGGGTGATAGGGTGTGGGGTGGTGGGTGCCCCATGGGCATCAGAGGGGCTGTGGGGTGGTGGGTGCTCCTTTGGCATCACCTGGGGTGCCGGGGTGTGGGGTGATGTGGTACAGGACGGTGGTGTCCCATTGCCATCAGATCGGGTGTGGGGTGCTGGGTGCCCCACGGACATTGGATGGGGTGCTGGGTGCCCCATGGGCACGGCCGGATCAATGGGGCGTAGGGTTGTGGGTGCCCCATGGGCACAGGG